CTGTTGATTCGTGGATTGTTCCAGGATGCTGCTTGGACTTCAGAATTTATATAAAGTCGAATGAAGAGTGCGTTTGAGTTTAGTGATTTATAAAGGAGGTAGAGGAGGAGATGACACCGTGGCCTACCTCAAATTATTTTGCCTGTTAAGAGCTGAGGAAATGCATTCAGGACGGCCGGGTACTCGACTAAAATTCCAATGATGATACCTCCCGAATAAAAGAACCTGAGCCTATTCCCAGATGAACTTTTCGGAGGTGGGCACGTTTGAATTATGTTACCATGAACATTTAACAGGAACCATCGGAGCCCTGCATATAGGCCCATAATCATACTCTCATTCCATCAAACGTAAGCAGCCTATGCAGTTCACTAAGTGCCGTAAAATTACGTACCGACCGAAAATTTTGACATTTTCAGGGATAATCAAGTCAGTACCGTCACAGCCAATACTGTCATTCGCGGCGCCTGGTCAGTATGCATACCGTCATACAACACAGTAAGAGAAATTGCCTGACACCATGGCGTCATGCGACAAGAATAGTTTTCGTAAAGACATGGTTAGAACTCCAGAAGTATTACTTTGAGACAGTAATTAATTCAACGTGGCACAGTTCAAGTTGGTTCAGGCGGAAGAGCTTCTGACTTGTACTCTTAAGGTGCTTCATTCGAATCTCGGCCAGGACATGGGCTATCTCAATTGAGATTTCTCGTAGTGTTCGATAGTCTACCATGCCAACGCCGGGATAGTACCATGTGAGTGCAAGCTATATAGTCTCGGCTAGTGGCAGACAGAGGCGCTAAACAAACACTGAACATGACCAAACTCACCGTCTGCATGCCAGCGGCAATGAAATCTATTAGTGCAGCTTTCTTCTCGCGGACGTCGAGACCTGGTGCGTTAAGTATGGACATGAACACGCTGCTAACCGCATCAACAGAGCACATCTCTCTCTCTTCTGTCAGGGCAGATTCGACCATCTCTGATACTATACTGAAAAAGAGTCCAGAAGTTAGAAAAATGACATCAGAAAAAACCCTGGTCTTCTGGGTACCGTTCAATTTACGGTCTTCTGTATAAAGTTGTGGGTCGTTTATTAATGTATCGCTCCAAACTGAAGCCTCAGTCTCAATGATAGGAGTGAAGGTTCCTCCGAAACACTGGTAAACTTCCATCAGGCTACACGGTCTTATAAGATGAGACGTTCTTAAGCCGAAACGTACGGTTCTCCCATAAGAATCAATATAATTAGCTGATTATGTGAACTTAAGAAAACGCCTAGTCAACTTATAATATTGTGGCGTGTGGATCCATTGAAGACAACAACTGAGAAACAAGCAACTATATAACAGCCATTGCTAAGTAATGGCTTCGAAAACAAGCACGTTTTCACGGTAACGATAGAATACTGCATTTAAGCAACATACGTTTTCTAAGCGGTCCGTTCCGTGATGTTATAAGCAGACCAGTTAGCAGTTTCAGAGTTCCCGGAGTGGGGCGGGTTCGAATACCTCCACGGTAGGTCTGCGAGTCGCAGGAGGCTACGAAAAGGGAACCCAGTGCCTGGGGGCATAACTGGGCCACCCTGTTCCTGGGGGATATAAATTCGGAGGCATGGCCCTCCAGGTTGGGGGAGTGTCAATTCTGAGACAGTAAAATTTGGCCAGGAGTCCCGCGGGACTCGGACCCGACAATGACTGTGTTGGCGAAGGCCAGCAGCAATTTGAAACGATAAAACCGTCCTCTTGTCAGAGAGGCCACCTACATCAACAAACTCGCAATTTTCTGAAAGTAATAAAAATCTCGTCTTGGGCCTCAGATGGAGGCTCGACACCAAGAGAGACTGGCTGACTGACCGCCGGTTGTAACTTGACTTTGACTTTGACTCTAAGTTGCACTCATTTAGAGAACCACTAAGAGTTCACTCGTTGTGAGCTGTTGCTGTTAGAAGCTGGTAGCTGAGGAAGGGGAACGTTCGCCGTTGGAAGCCGCTACCAAGAAACGGCAGTGAAAACGTGATTGTATCAAAGTGTGCAAGAAATCGAGTCATAAATCCAAGACCTGTCTATAGACACGCTACATAAATCGTGACAATAATATTAAACAAAAATAGACTCTGGTGGTGATGTTTCGATTCAATTGGCTCAAGATAGGGTCCAGTGGTGGGCTTTTGATAACATGTTTATGAACCGTCGTGTTCCATAAAATGTAGAAAATGTCTTGAACAGGTGAGTAACTATTAGTTTTCTAGAAAATATTTCCCTGCCGTGGAAAAAAGTATTGGTATGTACTTTTATTCTGAACTTATTTTGGAATGCATTTTCTGTATCAGAAAACCAAAGAAAAATGCAAAAGTGCGGCCCTAAAACTTGCTGAGATGGAAACATTTCGGATGGGTTTGTAACCGTGAAACCTGCACAGTTCAACGCGATGCATATTGAATTTATGCTTACTCGTAGATCTTCTCCTCGCTTTCCACGAATAATTTGTAGGACCGAGTGGGGAAAACCTTCCAGAATGGGAGCCCATAGAAGGTATCACGTGAGGCACAGAAATGACCCTTGATGGCTGCGCCCAGCCTGCACGCCTTCGCGTCCACTTCGTGCTCGAGGAATCCCATTCGTCGCCCCAAGATCAGGGTGCATGTGCCTGCAGACAAGAAACACAGGTGGATTTTAAAACAAATTCAGTGAACACAAAAGAACACAGCGTTTCGGAAAGTGTATCTGTTTCTGTCTTCAGGCGAAGGGGCTGGGAGACACCTACACTGTTGGGTCCTCTAGAAAGAGCTAACCTCAATCACTGGTCTCCCACCCTCTTACTTGAGGAAGGAAACAGAGCCAATTTCCGAAACATTGTTTCTCTAGTTCTTTTTAGAATACCGGACGATGCACAAAGTGCAGAATCTCAGATCACCAGAACCCTTTAGAATCTAATGGACTGTTGTCGTGCTTCAGCTCACTATGAATGCAGGTTTTGTTTAACTAATCTTTGTGGTGAGTCTGCATGTTTGTTAATAGGAACTTAAAATAAAGAACATCCTTTGGGTATATTTTATTTGGGAAATGGCGTATCCTTGCATAATGAAAGTTCAATGAGCTTAACTCCGAAATATAGACTCACTTTCTAAACCCATCCTATTAGCCAGTTCCTCGAATCCTGAGATTACGCCATGCTTGTCACGTGTTGTCCTTAGAAATGACATAAAATCTTCAACCACCTGGTTCAGTTCTGGGAGGAACCGCTGTATAGTCTTGGCGCTAGTGAGCTCAGGGGTGAGAACAGACCTCAACATGTGCCACTTTTCGCCTTGTCTGAAACAGAATGGTTATGTTCAGTTTAAGATCTTATTTGCAAGTGGCCCACTAATTCAAGCAGTCTTCACTGCATGTCGACTATCACAACCAATCACATTATCACCCGAACGATAGACGTGGTGCTGACTGCGGCCTATTGCACTGTCTCTGCCGACAGACTGAGTAAGCACGTACAATTCCATGAAAGTGCATGAGGGCCTGGAGGTCTCAATATCGGCATTAGACAGAGGTGCGTGATGAGGCCAGTTTCATGCCAGGCTTATTCTGGCTGAATTGCCCTAGAGAAGAACCTCTCGTGTCCCTTGAACAGAAACTGCGGGGTGGCGAGGAAAAATACCCTGCCTCTGACGAGAATCAAACTCGGTATTTTATCCCGTAGTCCACCCATAAGCTGGAGAAAGAAGCCCGGTACCCAGTGAACAGAAGAATACGGTTGGGGGAAAGATACAGCATTGGCGATATAGAAATCCTTGGCCGTGCCAGGAATCGAACCCCGCTGGTCCATCCCTTAGCCTTGTCATGTACCAACCGAACTGAACTACCCGGGCTCCCCTCTGTTCAACGGTTTCCTGTTAAAAATATTAAGATAGACCTTAAATAGAACGGACCTTGCTGAGCATGGGGTCCAGTGGTCTGTCCTTATGACATGATAATGAGCTACGAGTTGAGTGACCACCAGTTTCTCAATAAGAATTTTATTCTGTGGAGTTAGTTAATTAAAATAATTATTTCCAATAGACTTTCCCTCTCAGAACGGAGTCGTATGGCGAGAGCACCGGCTGGACGACTGGTACTCGATTCCCGGCAGGGAAGAGAGAATTTTTCCTTATCAATAACGTCCAGACTTCCTCTGGGGCCCACCTAGCTCATGTCCTATATGTAACGGGACCTATTCATCGGGAGTAAAGCGCCCGGGGATTGAAGCTGACCACACACCTCCATCTGGTGCCGAGGTCAAGAATGTTGGAATTGTACTTCCACTCCCCCATATGTCTTCGTGGCATAACGCGTAATTAATCAAGCATAGGACAACTCCACCTTTCTTTCACTTTTCGCTATTCAGAAATTATCTTGCTTAAACCGATTAGCTTCGACGGATTGTGGGCGCACGGGTGTACTGTTCAGAACACTTGTACAAATTCACTGGCTTGCAACAAACTTTATTATGCTAGATCTGAGGTTCTCATAACTGTCACTGTGGAGCATGGCTTTCTGGGATATAGTGCCGGGAAATCCGGCATTCAGATGGAAATGTCGCTTCCATCTGCAGGTTCGAAGAGTTCATGCATTATGTTCTAGAAAATCAAAGTCGTCAAAGAATTCTAGCTTCTGGGGTATAATCGCATCTTCAGGGTCGAACAATATGAGCATTGTGTAAGATTTGAGGCTTTCACGGCGGTGACTATGAAGAAAGCAGTCTTCTGGGATTTGGCACCGTGTATAAGTGGTGTTAACCGACGTTTCGGAGGAACGTATCGCCTTTTACCGGTTCTCACGGTCTCTTCGCTTGCAGAATTTTTATATTTTTCTTCTACCCTGAAGCTGGAGGCGATACGTTCCTCCGAAACGTCGGTTAACACCACTTATACACGGTGCCAAATCCCAGAAGACTGCTTTCTTCAATATGAGCACTGTTTGCCACCTGCTTTCCCGCTGGTTCCTTGCTTGGCTTATTCGACCCTGAAGATGGAGGTGACATGTTCCTCCAAAGCGTCAGTTGACTTTCAAAGGACTACATGGCGTTAAATTCCAGAAGACAGAAATCTTCAGAACCAGCGCTCTCATAAAAAACTATCCCAATCCTGTTACTGTGGAGACAAGTGTGCTAGAGGCTTGAACATACTCGTTGATGAGTCCCAGTGTGGTGTATCGGTCTGGCCGGGACTGGCGATACCACGCTAGGACTTCTGTTGGGGGTCGCAGCGGGAACTTGCTCTGGTGCTTGAAAACGACTTCGATGTCCCGCTGCTCCAACAGACTCACTACCGGGAAGTTCCACAGCGCTCTCTCACGCACAATACTTCCGTACTTCCGGAACATATCTGCAACAGACATACCTCTGGTGTGGACACAGACTTCCGGATTCGTGTACACATCATCAAAATCCACTCCTTTCGATGGTTTAGCCCAATCGCTTTAAAAGGCCTGCCTCACCCTGGTCTGGGGCCTTCCGAAAAAAAGAAACAAGAGGTTCTGGGAAGAACTAATTGTCTTTTTTTCCTTTGACATGACACGGACCACACAGAAAGAATTATGGAGGAACATACAGACACAGAAATAACCCGTTGCCTAGCAACAACAGGGGTGCACACAGATACATCGACAGCAAGGCGAACATGACTAAAAATGAGGGGGACACAAAAACACAGGCAACAAGGTGACCTCATAAGCCTCTTTTCATTTTTTCAAAATAAGGAAAAGAAAACAGGCTAAGAATCTTAATTCAGTTCAGTGAAATATTGTTCTACTTGTTCTACTTCTAATTGTATAACCCATTATACGGTCAACTAGTTTGTACAAAAAGTAATGTGTTATTTTAGCAACAGAGTTGTGTTGCGTAATAAATAGTATTGATGTTATTGGTTCTAGTGATTCTTTACGGAATATTACTTTACTAAATCTTTAATCAATATTAATCTCGAATTTCGTGTATACTCTACAAATTAATAACTTGCATTTCACCTCGGGCACAGGCAATTTCTGGGTTGATAACGAGTATCGTGGCTGTAACCAGTCATTTTGCCCATTCAGCTTACCCGGCTTAAGGAGTTGTTATGATTCACGACATAAATTTTGCGACTTTCACAACAGTGACTGTTCAGACTGTGGTATTCTGGGCTGTAATACCGTATAGTCTTGTTGGCGGATGCCAATCTAACCCCATCGTCACTGTATTATGGCCACAAAGGTGGGGGTAGCATGTTTTTTCTTTTCAAAACGTTGATATCTATGCCACAAGGCATCACAATCTAAAAGACCAAAATCTTAAGGACTGGCAATGCTCAACTTAGATTCGCAAATCTGAACTTGCTTTTCGTAAGGCGTTGCATTAGCGGTCCGGTACTCACCTCTGTATGCCTCGTGTATCTGGTTCATCTTGTATGGTCCGAAAATGGAATATATCCATCTTGTGCCCAACACTGGAAGAGCAGGGCCAGGTCCAGGTATGTCTCGCTCTGTACGGCGTCTCTCACGTTGCGCTGAAAAGCAGTAGGCCCGTTACTAACTAACTACATGGAACTGAGTCACTCTTGAGAAGTCGGCAATCGCTCGGAAATTCAATTTCCCAACATTCCATGGAACCCGAAGGTTAATTACCGTGTTCATAACATCCCGCCACTGACTTCTAACCTGAGCCAGATTAATCCAGTTCATACCACCCCATCCTATTTCTACAAGATACATCCCAATAAGTCTTCCTGCTTCGCGCCCCTGTGTACTACGTGACCAACCCATCTAATCCTCCTGGACTTGATCATTCTAATTATATTTGGCGAGTTCGAGCTATGAAGCTTCTTAATAAGCAACATTTTCCGGCCTTCTTCGGTCCAAGTATTCTCACCACTGTGCTCGCAGATAACTTCAGTCTATGTTCTTCTATATCCTGTTGCACTATACACTCCTACAAAGAACTACAACCAAATAAATTGTTTCATTCACGACGGCATTTGTATTATTACATATAGAACTATGTTCTTCCCTTAATGTCAGAGACCAAGTTTCGTACCCATACTGAACTGCAGGCAAAATTATAGTTTTGTATGTCTTTAGACAACAGACGAGAAGATAAAAGGTAATATGGCCGTTAATAATACATGCGTTTTTAATATCAGCGATTTTAACGGTTTCCTTAATGCGCAAATTTGGTATTAAGTATTGAAATTGCTGCACTGAATGAGCTGGAAACGTGTGCTTCATTTAGCCCAGTGCTGTCCAACGTTCTTATGTACTCGGGCACGCGGGCGCCACCACACACTACTACTACTACTACTACTACTAATAATAATAATAATAATAATAATAATAATAATAATAATAATAAAATCTTTCGAAAATATTTTACAGTACTCAGACGTTCAAAAATGTCTCTTGTCTTACAATTTGAATTAATATTAAAAATCGGCTCAATTATATGTGGTTACGGAGGGCGCCAGAAGAATATACCGCGGGCGCCGCGTTGGACAGGGCTGGTCTAGCCTATGTTGAACTGGATTTCTTCACGACGGTTGTGACCCTGTGTCATTACTTGATCAGATCTGCTGATACGAACACGGAAGTAAATACATCTTTATTTAACGAATTTCAGCGTAGAATGGTTTTGTATGACTGGGATTCTTACAGAGGTGGTTCCTATCTTCTGGGATACGTCAACCGACGTTTCGGATCAACAAGTCTCCTTCGTCTTCAAGGTTGAAAAGTAAGCCAAGTAAGAAACCAGCATGAACCAGGCAGAAATCAAGCTGCTTTCTTGCTTGGCTTATTCTTCAACCCTGAAAATGGAGGCGTCTTGTTCCTCCGAAACGTCGGTTGACTTTCAAGAGACTACACGGCTTTATATCTCCGAAAACGGAACTCCTCAACCGATCCGCTTTACGAAAATATAAAAATGGAATATTTTAAGTTGCATCATCTATTCTCAGTTCTGGTTGCAACACCGCAGTTCCACCGCACGTGAGCTGCCTGAATAACTCCTTGTTATGAAATCTAAACATGGAGTCTGTTTGCGAGAAGACAGGACACTGTCTCATACACGCAGTTTCTAGGTCACTTCACCTACAGGTACCTGAATATCGGCCCACCATACAATGGGACAGGTATGTGCCGAGTCTTGGGTTTCAAACAATGTGGACAATGCGTCCTGGATAGAATTATCAAACTCATCACAAAACTGTCCCCAATAATCATCACAGCGTCTAACATACTTACAGCAAGGGACTGAAAATTGTACTGATACTTATGTCGTAACTCTCCGTGAGCTTTCGTAAGGTACAGTGTTCTGAAATCATTAGGTTCGTTGTTGGATCTGAGGGTCCCACAGCACTGCATGTGAAATCGTGTAATTCAGTGAAAGGTGCATTTTATTATTCAAACTGAACAATGGTGTTGACAACTGTAACGATTTTCCATTAATATTTCAATGCGCTTTATGTTAGTCTTCTTTTTCGGCATATACATTTTCTGCGAAATCTCCATTTCGAAACAGCACATTTACTTCTTGCTTATCGCGACTAACTAGTTCACTTTTCCAGTTCCCTCTGTCATCCACCATCTGCCATATGTGGCCGATGTTAGTTTGGCCACCCTCGGAAGGCGCAGTCAGCAACAATGTGACGCCCACGGGGAAGTGCTGTACCGGAGCTGCAGAGGGACTTTTGCACGCAACTGACTTGATGGGCGGCACGTTCCACAGAGCAGACGCAGTGGCTCTGTCGCCAAGGATCTTGCCACATGAAGACAACTGTACAAATTAACCGAACAACATTCACAAGAGACCACCACTGGACAGCCTGCAGCCAGACAAATGTAGTCCACTTGCCCACAACCTGCCTCTTTGAGATTACCTTCCTATTTGTACCTACTTCTGGCAAATGGTGACCGCCTCTGTGGTCTAGTGGTCAGAGTTCCTGGCTTCAGATCCAGAAGTCCCGGGTTCGATTCGCGGCGCTACCAGATTTTCTGGGAAGTCAGTGGGTCTGGAACGGGATCCACTCAGCCTCGTGAGGATAATTGAGGAACTATTTGAAGGAAAATAGCGGCTCCGGTCTAGAAAACCGAGATTAACGGCCGTGGGGATCCGTTCCGCTGACCAAATGACACCCTCTATCCACAAAAGTTGGCATTAACTTCGCCGACAAGCGGCGGTAGCTCGGTCAGCATAGTTCGCTTGCGGACTACAGGCCACGGAGTTGTTGCAAATGGTACAAATTTGACCTAGATTTTGTACAAATTTCTGATCCTCCCTCATGGATGCTACGTGTCCTGAACATTTCATCATCCTTGACTTGATCGCTCTAACAGTAAACAGTTATGAGTGCAACTCAGACCCTCTAAGTTCCTCAGTCTTCCAGTTACGTCCTCTGTATGTCCGTGTATCGCGTTCCTGGACTTCCTGCTCTCACAGAATTCCTCCCTTCCAGGGAATAGACAAGTTGCACGCCCACACATAACAACAAGCACAGTTATAAGCTTTTTTCGTAATAGATTGGTGAAGGAAATAAAAAGAAATATTCTGAACTGAGAGACAGCAAGAATATTCCCAATGTTGTAAGCTCTTAAATTCTTCTGAATGTTATCATCATTTTATTATCACTACATTATTTTGATTTGTTTTGCCTTTCCAAATATTTCAGATCTTCCATAATTCTGAAAGGTTTCTTACTCATCTTGAAATGACTTCTTGGTCCCGCAGTCTTGTGACGACATAACACATGGAGATACTTTGTTTCCTTTTGGTTTCCCCCCTCGTTGGTGGCTCCACCTTATCGTGGTGAAGGGGTTTGAGTATGCCAGGGATCCTGAGAGCTATACCAGCGGTAGCGCAGCTACTGGCAGGGCCTCCCTTGCTGGACAGGTCAAAGGGTAGGCATCAAACGAAGAGAGACAAAAAAAATGCCGGAGGCAGCGTCATCAGCAGCGACTTGAAGCACAGAACAAATGATGCTCGAGATGGTTCAAGTTCGCATAGCAACAGGCGTGACCAGAGTGGTTTGAACGGCTGTTGTACTGCGATGTGGAAAGCAAATGGTAAAACTACCACATTATCACTTTTCCTGGATAGTCTCTTTCCAAAAACTGAGACACCATGTATGCGAGATATTTCCTCTGGGGTAGAAAGCTCTAGATCGCATTAAGTGGAGGAACTCTTTTGGAAGAGACTGTGGACCTCTCGTCTTGACAGTTTACAGATGAATAAATGAACTCATTTCTGTTAGAGGCTGAGTGAACCCCAGGGCCATAGTGCGGCTGGAAGGATTAGGTCAATTAAAAAAAAACCATTGACCTCCAAACAAAATTTATTTCCATCTTCTAGCAGAGCTTTTGAGTTTCTGTGCATGAAATTCATGCGCGTTAAAAGAATTAACTTTCACAGGGCGAAAATATAAAAAACGTAGGCTTCTTCGCGAATCAGTTGTCTCATTTTATGCAGGTGGTATTTTAGACTGGCCATTTCCTTTCTAGTTTAGTTTCGTTCTACATTCTGGTCTTCGCTAGGCAGTCGGGTTTGTGAATCAAAATACGCCGAAAATGGCGTCCACTGCACTTACAGTAATAGCATTTTTTTCATTCTCAACGGTAATCCGAAAACATTTCCCATGAGCTCTAAAAATTGTAGTTCAGTGTTATGTTCTTTTGAATAGCACTGTACCATATTCATATCAGCGTTTTGTTACACTATTCACAAAATGCTTGCGTCGTCTCTCATTATATAATAAGCGCTATAGATAAAATATTAGATTATTCTGCTTAACCGTGGGAATTTGATACGTCATGACGGGTAGGATGACACCTCATTGTTGTCGACATTTTCATGTATCTTATTTATACCACAATACAGATCTTCCTTGTTGGTCTTCTGTTTTCTCGTTACCACCACTAGTTGCACAGCTGCGCCATGGCCGCTAGCACCACGGACTTGCACAATAATTATTTATTTTTTCTTATGTGTAAATCCTCCTCCTCTGCTGTCCAAAAACATGAAAATTAGAATATAAAAACTACAATTTTGCCTGTGTTCTGTATGGGTGTGAAACTTGGTCTCTGACATTAAGGGAGGAACATAGACTGAGGGTGTTTGAGAACAGGGTGTTGAGGAGAATATTTGGACTGAAGAGAGATGAAGTGACAGGAGGTTGGAGAAACTGCATAATGAGGAGCTTCATAACTTGTACTCTTCTCCAAGTATAGTTAGAATGAACAAGTTAAGGAGGATACGGTGGGCATGGCATGTAGCACGAATGGGGGAGCCGAGGAATGCATATAGGATATTAGTGGGAAAGCCAGAAGGAAAGAGGACACTGGGAAGACCACGGTGTACGTGGGTGTGGATCTTAGAGAGATAGGATGTGATGGTATGGATTAGATTGATCTGGCTCAGGATAAGGACCAGTGAAGGGCTTTTGTGAACACGGTAATGGACCTTCGGGTACCATAAAATGCTGGGAAATTCTTGAGTAGCTGCAGAATTGGCGGCTCCTCAAGA